ATCTCATGTAGCTTTGTCATTTTCCATTAATTATGTTCCCCAAACGGAGTTTGGGAACATATTGTTTTTACTCTGTTTCTTACTATTATTATTCTTTTTTCTTCTTATTTCTTCTCGGTTACTTTTTTGTCCGCGAGTGTTCTCAGGAACTGTTCATCCAACTGAGCTAAAACATTTTTAGGGTTAATAGGTGTGTAGTGTAGGTGTGCGGAACGAAGGTCATTTTGCGCGCATACGCATGCACGTGCTGGCGCGTGCAACACGTGAAATGACTTATATACTGAATATAGCTATAACTTTTACATTTTTTAATGAAATAATTTGAAACTCATTATATAAAGATATATTAATAGTGTAGATAATGTGACACTGTCAAATTAGCACGAACTCACGCGCATGCACGTGTGCTTCACTCTGATTGGCTGAAACGAAAATTTCAATATCTTTTCTGTTTTTTGACGAAATGCTATGAAATTTAAAACATGGGCATATTTTTGGATGTTCTAGAATATGATATATAGCAATTATCATGAAAACACGCGCATGCACGTGTGCTGCAATCTGATTGGCTAAAACTTTAAATGGCTATAACTCCCTTGTTTTTCAACCAAACAGGATGGGATTTAGAGCATAGACAGACATAATAGACTCCTACAAGAGGGTATGGTCAATATGCACATGCATGCACGTGTTTGCACGTGTACTTTGTTCTGATTGGCTGAAACAAAAATCTTAATATCTTTTTTTGTTTTTAGACGAAATGCTTTGATATTTTAAACAAAGCCATGCATTAAGATATCCTACAATATGATGTATAATATTTTTCATGAAATCACGTGCTTGCACGTGCGCTGCAATCTGATTGTCTTAAACTTTTAATGGTTATAACTTTCTTAGTTTTCAACCAAACAGGATGGGATATAGAACATAGATCGACATAATGGACTCCTACAAGATGGTATGGTCATTATGCACATGCATGCACGTGCGTGCACGTGAAGTGAGCAAAAATTAAAATACATTTAAATGAGCGTTTTTTTAATATTTTTGGATTAAATGCTTAAATATTGAGTATATTTTAATACATTGAAAGTGTAGACAATATGATACGGCCATTAAGCACATGCATTCACATGCGCACGCGTGCAATGCTAAAATTGAAATACACTTAGTATACTTCTGGGAAAACGTTGTTAAAGACTAAAATACGTAGAGTTTGTCTTATTTAATGAGACTTACATGGAATATGGCACCAAAAGGGAGTTGGGGAGCGTTTGGGGAACATCTGTAACGGCCCCCGTTACAATTAGCCCTAGTTACTCTTATTTTTTCATGATTGCATGAAGAAACATATTTTACATTTTGAAGTAATAATAAGTTGCAGACAGAATTTCTCAGTGAATATTATGCTATTGTTTGGATTTTTTCTAAAATGTATACAAATTATTTTTATATACTGGAATAGATTAAGCAAATCATACTGAAGTTAAATGTGAGGGGTGGGTTATTTAGAATTTTTGGCATGAGAGGTTTTGCTAAATTAAAGCTGAACACGACTCGTAAATCATAGGCATACGCCTTTTCGATATCATTATCTACGATACATCAACACCAGGTTATACTTTTCAGATTCGTTACACCAGACTGCTTTATTAGCTCACCTGAGCCAAAGGCTCAAGTGAGCTTTTCTGATCACAATTTGTCCGTTGTCTGTCGTTGTCGTTGTAAACTTTTTACATTTTCGACTTCTTCTCAAGAACCTGGGCCAATTTCAACTAAACTTTCTACAAAGCATCCTTGGGTAAAGGGGATTCAAGTTTGTTCAAATGAAGGGTCACGCCCTTATTCAAGGGGAGATTATTGGGAATTAATGGAAATTTGGTGGTATCTTTTAAAAATCTTCTTCTCAAGAACCACTGTGCCAGGAAAGATGAAACTTATGGGGAAACATCCTCAGGTAGTGTAGATTCAGGTTTGTTCAAATCATGACCCCTGGGGGTAGGGCGGGGCCACAATGGCCGACCAAAGTTTTACATAGAAATATATAGGAAAATTCTTTAAAAATCTTCTTCTCAAGAATTACAAAGCCATAATTGATCATATTTTCATGGAAGCATCCTCAGGTAGTGTTGAATCAAGTTTGTTCAAATCATGACCCCCGGGGGTAGGGCGGGCCCACAATGGCCGACCAAAGTTTTACATAGAAATATATAGGAAAATTCTTCAAATATATTCTTCTCAAGAATAACAAATTAGCCATAATTGATCATATTTATATGGAAGCATCCTCAGGTAGTGTAGATTCAAGTTTGTTCAAATATTGACCCCCGGGGGTAGGGCGGGGCCACAATGGCCAATCAAAGTTTTACATAGACATATATAGGAAAATTCTTTAAAAATCATCTTATCAAGAAAAGCAAAGCCATGATTGGTCATGGGACTACTTTTGGATATAAACTATTCAATAATAATCCAATTTCTACTTTTTCCCAGCCACAGTACCCATGGGCCTCTTGTTAGACGGGGGTCTAACATTTTTTTCACATTTCTATTGATCTTCATATGCATACCAGTTTTCAACGACATTGTTTACATCGAGCCGCAACTTAATTGGCCATTGGTCTCATTTGCACAGAACGTGTACTTTAATTTAAACTAAAACATATCCAAAGGACAATGTTGGCCAAGTTGCGGCTCATATCTAATTTTAAAAACAAGATGTGTTTGTGAAACACTGATGCCCCCGTATGGCAACATAGCGAAGGTGAAGCTTTCTCAAATGCAGATCAAATATGTTGGTACCAAAGTTAGGCCTTTTCACAAGAAATGCGAAATATAAAACGCTAGCTACACCTGTTTCAGGGTTATGACCAAGGTTAACATTTTATAATATAGGATAAACTCCGGATCAAGGCCAAAGGGTCAAGGTTGTTGGGTTCTAAAGAAAAGCCTTGTCTCAAAGATTACGTATGGGAAATATGAAAGCGCTGGCCCTTACTATTCAAAAGTTATGGCCAAGGTTAAAGTTTGTAAAAAGTAGGTCAAATTCTAAGATCAAGGTCAAAGGGTCAAGATTCTTGATATCCAGTGAAAGGACTTGTCACAAGGATTACACTTGTGAAATATGAAAGCTCTGGCCCCTACTGTTCAAAAGTTATGGTCAAGGTTAAACATTGTAAAAAGTAGGTCAAACTCCAAGATCAAGGTCAAAGAGTCAAGGTTCTTGATATCAAATGAAAGGTCTTGTAACAAGAATTCAATTTTTGAAGTATGAATGCCCGAGTCCAAACCCTTATTATGCTCAATGTTGTAATTTTAATGTAGGTCAAACTCCAAGGTCAAGGTCAAAGGGTCAAGGTTCTTGATATCCAATAAAAGGTCTTTTCATCAGGATTATATATGTGAAGTATGAAAGCCCTAGTACTTAATGTTCAAAAGTTATAGCCAAGGTTAAAGTTTTTTCATAGATACGGAAATCTCCAAGGTCAAGAGGTCAAGTTTGTTGGTATCCAATGAAAGGTCTTTCCAAAAAAATATATATATCAAATATAAATGCCCTGGTATCTATTGTTCAAAAGATATGGCCAAAGTAAAAGTTCAAAATTTTTGTGTTAAAATGGGTTAAACTCCAAGGTCAAGGTCAAAAGGTCAAATTTGGTGGTACCCAAAGAAAGGTCTTGTCACAAGGAATACATAAGTGAAATATGAATATCATAGCTCCACTAAATCAAAAGTTATAGGCAAGGTTAAAGTTTTTGCGGACAAACAGACAAACAGACAGACAGAGAGACAGACAGACAGACAGACAGACGGACGGACACGACAAAAACTATATACCCCCGAAACTTCGTTTACGGGGGCATAAATATGTCTCCAAACAAGGGTCGAGATAGCTACTAAATTAACCGGTCACCGAGCATCAACGATTGATATCATAATCACCTTACTCACGTGACATTCTAATTTTCGATATGCTGACGCTTTTATTGAACATTTCATTGATTGTGTTTAAGTTTCAGTTGTGCCAATATCTATCGTGCTTCCAACTTCAAACTATGGAAGATTTTTTAGCAAATTTTAATAGGGTTTGAAGATTAAATAAATGTGTTTCTTAATTAACTTTATATTTTTCATTAGAGGTGTTTTGAAAGCATTCTGGTATTGACAGTGTAATTAGTAAGTACATGTATAGGCTCATGTCGCCTCTGTATTGTCTGCAGGGCGAGACATCTACCCCATCCCTAAAAATTAGAATCAATTTTTTAATTGTGCACCATAAAAATAACATGAACTCTCTCTTCTCCTGCTAAAACAAATCATATGTGTTAATGTTTACATTCAAGATCCATGCGATTTAAATGTCTCCGCCTATTTGCGGATACCTTGGATTCGAAAGTGGTCCCGTCCAAATTTCCGGAATTTCAGGCTTTTACATGTTCTTTTCGATTAGATTGTCTGTAGTTATAGAAAAAGGTATGACAAAAAATTATAGTAATACACATGTAAATATCAAAAGCATATGCTTACACATTAATCATAGATTAAATTAGCGATATATTGTAATGTTAAGCTTAAAATGGGTAGCCGAAAAGGTTCCAAATGACGTACTTAAGTGCATTCATTCTTTAGTTAAAAAACTAAGAACCAATCAGAATTGAAATAAAACATGTTAGCTGAAATACGAAGATATTAAAGTATTCTACATGAATATGGAAAGTGGACGAAGGAAAAGAAGAAGTCATAGTCGTTCTTTGGCACTTTCATCTGTTATATGTGAACGCCCTTTTTCGTGAATTTTTCACTCAGATTGATCACATGTATACCGATGATGTTAAAGCGTCTGCTCTATTAGTAAATCCTTACAGATCACAAGGGTACATTCTCAAACTACATGTTAGACCTCCGGTGTACTCTCACTACAAAAACAACAAACATTGGCTTGTATAAACACTGGAAAATATTTCGAGTTACAGTATTTTAATACTAAACGTCAGATTAATTTAATTTTCTTTTTTAGGTGAAAACAAGATGTCAAATACGACTGAGGTTTCGGATGACGGAGAGGCTATAAACGAAGACTATTATGAAAACCCAGCTGTTGTGATGCTAATCATTTTCTCCGTCATCGGAGTTGCCGGCAACGCCCTTGTTTTATATGGTTTTTCTATGTTAAATCCAAAAATGACTTCAACGATATTCATATTAACTTTGGCGGGAATCGATTTTACTTCCTGTCTGGTTACAATTCCTGCCACAGCTGCTATGGAGATGGTTGCTTTTAGGGTGCCTTACGACCCTTTGTGTAAAGCCTATCATTTTCTGCTTACCTCAACTATACCCTTTTCGGCGTTTCTGATGGTAGCAATTGCTGTGGATCGTTATTACTGCATATGTAAGCCTTTCATCCAGATTATGACGAAGTTTAGAGCCAAAGTTATAGTATTTTCTCTAAGCATTCTAGCCCTGATTATTGACTTCGTAAGTTGCTTGAATTTTGGTTTGATTGAACTAAAGGACAGATATCATACAAATCTGACACTTGAAATACAAGCCATTGCAGAATTGCTTTCACCAGATCACCCCGCGGTACTTGCGCTTCGAGAACTACATTTGCAAAATAAGGTTCTTTTTTGCGGAAACCCCCGGATGTTAGGAGAAACATTTTACACAGTGTATAATACAATATACGCATCAATTTACGCGACATGCGGCATTGTGGTAATCATCCTGTATGTTGTTATTTACCACTTCATTCTTACTCACAGACAACGACGACTTAGAACCGAATTTTTCCCCTCTTGCATATTCAGTAAAACACAACTTGGTGAAAGTGAAAATACTGATTTTATTTACGTTAGTCAAGAAACGCAGAACACGCGTGTGACCGAGGAAACAACTGAAAAGGATGCCAATTTGAACAGTCCCATGTTAAAACCAAATAACGAAGGTTCGCAGGCTACAACGCCCAGTAATGAAACTCCACCCAAGTCAAGAGCAAAGAAGAAGAAAAATCACAGGAAATCGGATGCCACATCTACTTTTCGACTAAAACGAGCGTATTCGTGTAAATAACATCAAGACAGCTCTGATGCTGTCTGTTGTTGCTCTGGTATTCATTGCGGCGTTCCTACCAGCTTGGCTAATACAGCTAAAGGTTGTACCGTTTAACACGATTTTGTTCTACATGTACTTTATTTATAACTTAGCAAATCCTTTCATCTATGGTTTTATGAACCCTGATTTTCGTCAGAAAATGGCTATTGCTTGTACAAGAATTAAAAATCAGTTTAAAAAGTGATTTCACAACAATGGTGCTCAAGATGTGTATCACTTCAATTAGCCATCGCACACTCAATATGTTTTTTAAAAGACCAATTTTTCTTCTTTGTTGTAACAATTTTCATGTATAATGCGTATTTCTCAGAATATGGTTTAAAGTGCTAGTTTGAATGAACGATGTGGTTGAAAAATATATTTATACAAGAAAGTAACCATTTATCTTTTTAGCTCACCTGAGCTTTTCTGATCACATTTTGTCCGGCGTCCGTCTGTCTGTCTAGCTGTCCGTCTGTCTGTCTGTCTGCCCGTCTGTCTGTCTGTAAACTTTTCACATTTTCGACTTCTTCTCAAGAACCGCTGGGCCAATTTCAACCAAACTTGCCACAAAGCATCCTTCGGTGAAGAGGATTCAAGTTTGTTCAAATGAAGGGCCATGCCCTCATTCAAGGGGAGATAATTGGCAATTAATGAAAATTTGGTGGTATGATTTAAAAATCTTCTTCTCAAGAACCACTGTGCCAGGAAAGATGTTCAAATCATGACCCCCGGGGGTAGGGCGGGCCCACAATGGCCGACCAAAGTTTTACATAGAAGAATATAGGAAAAATCTTTAAAAATCTTCTTCTCAAGAATAACAAGCCATAATTGATCATATTTATATGGAAGCATCCTCAGGTAGTATAGATTCAAGTTTGTTCAAATTGTGACCCTCTGGGGTAGGCCACGATGGCCGCCCAAAGTTTTACATAGAAATATATAGGAAAATTCTTTAAAAATCATCTTATCAAGAATAGCAAAGCCATGATTGGTCATGGGACTACTTTTGGATATACACTATTCAATAATAATCCAATTTCTACTTTTTCCCAGCCATAGTGCTCAGGTGAGCGATGTGGCCCATGGGCCTCTTGTTATCACGTGTTTCGGCGTGGAATGGTGACCTGTGTTTGTGCTGGTTATTTGGCATTACCTTTGTTTACATTTTATTGCAGTTATGTGTATCCGTGATTGTTTGTATACTGCACTAACCTGTACAACTATAATTGAAAGTTTCTTTGTTATCTTACTTTCCTGCATTAGACAAAGTGTTACGTTATTAACTTATTATTGTCGATACCGAGTGTTGTATAGCATATGTCCGTCTACACCAGTGTTGACTGATTACACTGAACAGTGACCAAGTCCTATCCTTTATATAGGGGTCTGCAGGTATAGCGATTCTCCGAACAGAAATGGCGGCCACATTCCTTTTAGGAATCTTGTTCAGCTTTAAGTACGTTGCTAATCTATGTACCATAAAAAAAATTTATTAATAATTATTTCATCTGATACTAAATAATACATGTAATACATTTTTACCTGAGCGTTTGTATTTTCTTATACTAAATGTTTTTAAAAAATTATTGATATGTTTTATTAAAAGTTTATAAAAACATTTTTGACAGACTTTTTCCTAAAAATATAATATATTTAACAAGTGCAAGAAAAGAACTTTAAGAGCAAGTCATTACCAAGTAACAGTAAGTAGCCCTACCTGGACCAAAGTGCATTGATGATGCATCTAGGGATATGTACACTATCAGACTTGTTTTGGGTGCTAGTCTGACCTACATTTTCCAAATAAGTTAACAGGTTAAAGTTTTAGGAGCATGTCTATTACCAAATAACTATAAGCTCTATCTGGACCAAATTTGCATGGATAATCCATCTAGGGAAAGGCACTTACAGACTTGCTGCTTTGGATACTGGATCTGACCTTTATTTTCCAGGAGTAGGTCCATTAGGCATTACCATGTAACTATAAGCTCTATCTGGACCAAACTTGCATGAATGATGTATCTAAGGATGTACACTACCAGACTTGCTTCGATGCTGGATCTGACCTACATTTTCCAGAAAGTCAATTTAGCCATATTTTAACCAAATTAACTTATGGATGGTGTATATAATGCTGGGGATTTATAGACCAGCTTTGGATGCCGAGTTTGACGTATATTTTTTGCTCTTGGACTAGCTTTATATTTATGCCCCTGGATCGAAAGATCCTGGGGGTATATTGTTTTTGTCCTGTCTGTTTGTCTAGCTGTCTGTCTGAATGTTGTCAACGTGACGAAAATTGACTCCCGACTCTGTAATCAATCAAAGCTCGTGCTACTTTTAAGCTATCTTGGAAATAAATTTATCTATATAAAGCATTGTGTTTTATAGACGAAGTACAAGAAGGTCAAAATCTGACCTAAGTCTATTTCAATCTCATAATGATGATAATATTAAACTTAAAGGCGTTTATGATTTAAACAAATCGTATCAATGTACAATTAATCCCTATAATATCAATATGAGGACCTGAAATAAGATAAAACATTATTCTCCAGCAGATAGCCATTTTGATGCTGCCACCGTTTGTCTTTTCACGTTAATCGTTATGACTTAGTGCTTCGTGATGCTGTACCAAAACAATACATTTCACTATACTGTCTTACTATAGTATTAGTTATAATTTGGACTTAAGGTTAAATTCGCCAATTTCATACTTGCGAAGTTGTGTGCATCACGATAACAATCGCCGCTCAAGCTACTTTCGTTATTTCTAACCAATGAAATTTGTCCTTACTTTCTTATAAAACTGTTGCGTCATATCACCCATAATGCAATATTATTGCACGCATCACTAAATTGTAGAACACACATCACAAGATTTCGAATATACATCACAAGATTATCGAACAAACATCAAAAGATTATTGAACATACATCACAAGATATTAAATATAAATCACAAGATTTTGAACATGTATCACAAGATTATAGAATACACATCACAAGATTTCGAATATACATCACAAGATATTGAATATACATCACAAGATTATAGAATATACATCACAAAATTTCGAATATACATCACAAGATATTGAACATGCATCACAAGATTATAGAATATACATCACAAGATTTCGAATATACATCACAAGATATTGAACATACATCACAAGATTTAGAACATGCATCACAAGATTTTGAATGTACATCACAAGATTTAGAACATACATCACAAGATTTTGAATATACATCACAAGATTATCGAATATAGCAACGTTTGACATGCCATAATCAATGAAACTATGTAAAATGACTTTTTGACAGAATTTCATAGAATTGTTTTTAAGGCATCTAAAGGATTGGTTAAAAAAAATTAATTTTCTGATAAACAATGTCTTTTCCTGCTAAGCCTTCTAAGGTATTGAAACACATTTAAATGTAAAGCCTGAAAAACGGGTAAAGGCTAGCTTTATTTATTTATTTTATTTTAAGCTAAGGAGAGGAGAATAAAAATGCACATTTCCTTTTCATTGCCTTCATTCTTTTGAAATTAGATTTTAACATTAGAAATATGCAAGGAAATAAATATTAGGATTCTTTGAAGTGACACATTTCAGACAACTGTATACGCAAACTGCAGTTCATAGAAATACATTAAATACCGTTCATTTCAAGGACTGACTTGCAGTTTTCATTTAACTTTAGAAGAATCAAATACCAAAAATGCCAAAAGGGGAATACAATATACACATGTATAGACGAAGATATTTATTTACACAATAAACTCGGAAAAAGCACAATAAAACATTCGTAAAAGTAATTCACTGATCTTTCTTTTAAATTTCTTTGCATAAGGTTCGATGGTAAGCATATGTGGGTGAAGAGCAGTTAGAATGTCTACTCATTTTTGTAGTCGTCATAAATATACCTGTATAATTCATTAAAGGTACTTGGACACTGATTTGAAGTTAATATTTTCTCTATAATATGACGACTTATATACTTTAATAGCATTTCACACAAAAATTAATTAAAAATCTTATTTCATTTAAAAGTTATTAAAACCTCAAATTTTTGGCGGGTTTGATTGACAAATCCTTGCACTTTTACAAATTTTAATTTTAATCTTAATACTTGGAAAAAGTGGCAATCATGTTGTGTATGAATGAAAAATATTAATACTATAATCCAGAAAATTCAGAGTAGACATGTTCAAAAGCAAAACAAACACACAATATATTCTCAGTCCGTGCAGTTGTGGTGAGCAGACTTTGACAATTGAACGCACTCGGTGAAATCAAAACATCAACAAAAACAGAACTCCTGCCTTGTTTACAAAAACTGTGTACATAACACGAGTGTGCTCGATTTGCAAACACGACTTAGCTCGAAATGACGATACTTGTGAAGGCGTTTTGCTTTCTAACATTTCTACTCCGAATAAAATTATTTTTCTGGATTAAAGTTTTAATATGTCTCATTAAAACACAACAAGATTGCCATTTTTCTGAAGATTAAGAATAAAATTAAAATATGTGAAAGTGCAAGGATGTGTCAATCAAACCCGCCAAAAAATTTGAAGTTTTAATAACTTTTAAATGAAACAAGATTTTTAATTAATTTTTGTGTGAAATGCTAATAAAATATATCATTCGTCATATTACTGTGTAGTATACAGAAAATATTGAGTTCAAATCTGTGTCCAAGTACCTTTAAAATATCATCTGAACCTTAATAATAATGCAGTTTGTTTTTCAATTCGGTTTTGATTTTCAATTCAGCTGGTTTCATGCCATTGCGTAACACTGAAAACGGTTATAACCCACACACACTTAAGTTAAATGTTATTTGATATTGCATATAGCAGTCCATTCACGGAGTATAACTAAAATGATTTCTTTCTGGTGCAATTATAGACTAGTTTTAATATTTTATGAATATTACACAATAATTCATTACATAAATGCTTGACATTGGAGATGTTATAATCTTTTTTCAATATTGTTGTTACAGTATAATATTGTAAAATTCGTCATAGCTTTCAAATTTATAAAAATAAGCATGGTTTACTCAAACTCTTTTGGGAATACTAAATCTTTGATTTTTCCCTCTGCTAAGTTTTAGTTCATAAAAAAAATTGGAGATTGATTGACAGCCCGTATAAAAAAAATTGTGAAAAGCAAAATGAAAGAGATTGGTTCACTTTATGCATAAAACGGCCCTGTAGTTAAACCAATTTATTAACATAAACTAACAGTTAATGTTCCATTTAAAACATCAAAATAAAGTAGAGGCTTAGTACTTTCATTTCCTATTAAAAAATTTTCTCATTAAACTGCAGGTCTTGGAAATCAGACTTTATGTAATTGCAATGTTCTTGAAATCTAACCCTAACCCTATGGAAACATGTATATTTCATTACTTTCAGAGAAGAAAAATAATATGAGCGCACCCTCTAATCTAAAAATTAAAACATATCTTGTAATTCTCAGAAACAGTTCTATCATTTACCAGTTGTTTATTTTAGATCAGAGGTTGCGATCTATATTAAATATTGAAAAATAGTTTTAAAAATTGGCCGTACTTGTAGACTTTCTCAAAATACAAAGAAATTGACGCATTTCGTGACGTCATAATGTTTTGACTAG